AAAAGCGGAGAAAACGATCGCTTGAACTTCGCACCGTAAAAGTGCCTGGGTGGAATTGTTATGGCCACGTTCGTGCCGCGTGTATGCAAATGCCGCTTTTCTTCGGCCCATTGTTGCGCGCGACGTTTACGCGCGTTTCATCGAGCGCAACAAGCCGATGCGCCGTTACGAATGGAATGCGTGTAATTCGTGCACAGACGAATGATGTGTTACGCGAGGAAAACGCGCGCACCTTTTAAGGATATCAACTTTATGACCAACTCGCTGATCGAAGTATCAGATCGATAGACAATCGTGCTCTCTAAAGCCCGTATATCAGACTACGGATTGGGATTGGGATTAGATTGAAATTTAACCAATCACAGTAAAGTTTACTAATCTCAAGTTCAGTAACTTTTACTCTGATTGGTCAAATTTCAATCTAATCCCAATCTCAATCCGTAGTCTGATACGGGCTTTAGAGCCAATCGATGGATTATCACTGAAAACAATGACTGTTCACTGTTTTCAGTGATAATCCACCGATTGGCTTTTAGAGAGTGTTCAATCGTGCAAATCTTTGGTGTAAAAATTGGTTATCGGTGCAATATTGAGAGGTGGAGCAATAGTAATATGTCTAGAAAATATCTTTCCTTTAACGTTTTAAATACTTGCATAATTTACATAAATTCTAAATAATTCTTAATAACCAATTTTTTACTATTTTATTTAGAACCAATAACAGAATTGAATATTTAACCGAGGGGAATTTTTTTTAAAAATCGACCAAACTGGCAAAATTGATGGTTTATTTTAATCGCGACGTTTCGACCTCCTTTATCGGGTCCTTTTCAAGTACATCCTGCACTGAAAAAAAAAAATCTGATAGATTCAACCAGTCGTCTGTTGGAAAATGGACTTGCCAGATTTGTAGTGAAGTCTAGCAAACTTCTGGTTATGAAATATCTTTCTTGGTAAATTCTAAAGGAATTCTGATTCGTCCATTTTCTAACAGACGACTGGTTGAACCTGTCAGATTTTTTTTTTCAGTGTGGAAACTTTATAAGTGCTCAAACCGCAGTGTAGAACAAGATTCATTAGTATGTGTATGGACGAAAATGACCTAAAGTTAACTGAACATTTTTATTTTATGCCGAGACAGAATGGGTTCACGAGTCTGCGCACGGAAAAAAACATTTAGCTGCTGTAGCTAAAACTTAGCAAAATAGGGACAGCTGATATTTTAGTTGTGATAGCTCAATATTTTGCTACGACAGCAAACCGTTTGCTGTCGCACCTAATGCAATAGGCACAGTAGCAAAATATTGAGCTATCACAACTAAAATATTAGCTATTTTGCTAAGTTTTAGTTACAGCAGCTACATTGTTTTTTCCGTGCGGTAGCAAATTCATAATGTCACATCTGGAATTGTCGCAGGTGAATAATTAGACATCTTTGCGGTTAGATAAATTACTAAATTAATAAACTAGGAGTAGAAGTACAAAAGCAGTCGAATGAACAAGATATTATAATAAGTTGAGTATAATAAATTAATAAATTGAGAGTAGAAGTCGAACAAAGCAGTCAAAGGGATAAAATAAGAAGTTAAATAAATTAATTGACTGGCTAATAAGTCAAATGTAAGGGTCAAAGGATAAAAAGGCAAGTGCCTTTTGGTTGATTACCACTGGCGACAGGATGCCACTCAAATTGTTGAATATTTAAGTTACGCTTTCATTCACAGTTCTTCTCGAGCATATTTCATTGCAACTGATACGCGCATAAAAGATATGTTAAGTTCTCACATGCATTAACGAAATTCCCCCCCCCTCCTCTGTCCCTCTTCTCGAATTGTTTTAATAAATAATCAAGTCTGTCCTGCGCCGCGCAGGGCCGATCCCTCCCCAAACAATTCGGTCAGCTGGCCCTACGTCTTTTTTTCCCCGTCGCGACGCAAATGCGAGTAGATTGAGTAACCACCGGCGACAATTGCCGCTCCCCCGGCCCGTTGGTGCCGCGCGAGAAATATTAATACCCTCCACTTCCTTCCGGGCAACACACCCGGCGCGGGGAACGGTCTGGTCCCCCCCCTCGCTTCGGCACCCCAAAATCCGCCGGGACTTGTTTCACGTGGCCGCGCGTGTCTACGTAAACACGCGCGATCTCTAAACAGCGCAACCGCCGCCGCAGCCCGAGGGCGCAGAGCCCAAACACTTTGGAGCGCGTGCGGTCGAACGCGTGGCGAGAGGGTTACAATTAGCGGTTATAACATCGCGCGCCGCTGCGAGTTACAATACAATACAATACTGGTGGATGGATGCTCCGCGAAATTGCTTACGGTCTACATACGGCGGTAAGGCGGTTTCGTTTTAACGGAGAGGAGAAACGTCGAACTTGTGTGCAAATCGCGACGCGAACAGCTGATTCTCCTCGATTCTCGACGGACAATTGCGTCTCCCTCGCGTGCCTCTGCGTCTGAACGTCTTCGTTAGGCGACCCGATTCTTTCGTCTGGCAGCTTTCGCAGATTAAAACGACGGTCTTCGTAGAGTCCTCGCCGCGATAATGCGAGAGACATCTATCATGACGATCGCCCCGTTAGTAGATATCGCTAGATGGCCGGTAGATCGAATTGTACGTCTCGTTATTTTGATATCTCGTTATTTCAATGCGAAAACAGATTGGCCTCCCTAGGAATTAGAAAAAATGATTTAATATTTCTTTTCTTAATTCAATCCGATTTCATTCGACTCCATTAAAATAAAAAGAGAAAGTAATGAAAAACTTCCAGAATATTGTGGTTAACATTGTTTCTCCTGCGTTAGCAGTACCAGAATTTAAAAAAAAGAGTTAAACGTACACAGAGGTTAAAGCGCGAAAAATCAGTCGCTTTTCTGTCGCAGTAAAATGGCAAAAGTGGCAACTCCTTTACAATCCCGTCGTTTTTGTTACTCGCAAGTCTTGTACTATCGGCATTCATTTCAGCTTTGCATATGAGCGGCGAAAAAAAGCGCTCTATGAGACTTGAACAATGCCACCATTGCGATATTCTTGTCGAGTCATATCTTTTGGAATTTCCAACGCGAGATTCTGCTGGCTAACGTCCGCTTTAGACAATTCATAATTAATGAAGAATTCTATTTGATAACTTTATATGCCGCCGTAAGACGAGAAACATTTGAAACATGCACACGTGTGTATACAAGTTATCTACTTACAAAATTATAAGTAAAACACTATTCTGGCGCGGATTATAAATTCGCCCGATGCGACTTTAAATACGCGCTTAATGAATAAGATAAGTTTTAATTGTACACCGCAAAAGGAACTCATTTATATTAATATGTCATAAATACTCGTATAAAATTATTATTTTAAATGTTCCTTAAAAGATCGCGACGATACGGCGGGATTGCGGCGCCGCAGGTGCTTGTTATTTTTAATATTGTATCTTTTTCTACTTGCGCGTGGTATCCGAAGAGGCGCTATCGACGGCCGAAATCAAGGGCGGAAGCTGTTAGCGATAACCACGATCCTTCGGCATTGGACGTTGCGTTCAGGCATCGTCGTAAATTGACGTAGGAGTTTTCATTTATCGGACAGAGCCCGATGTACACGTTGCATCTTTCGCGGACCCGGTAATCGTCGTTTTCCATAACCAGTTGTACGAAAATCGAGAGTGCTTTCGACCACGCATAAATTTCGTATCGACGGAGTTTTGTTATGGCTGCGTTCGAGCTAAACAGGGTGAGCCTTTCTAATCTTAACAGGCAAATATTTCGAAAATATAAATAAAGACTCGCCCTGTATATCTAAAAAAACACACATAATTAGGATAAAGAATAAAAATTGATATAGATATTACAATAAATGCAACGAAGGCACATAGGCATGGATAATAAAGACAAATGGCAAAGATTTCGCACGGTTCTCTCAAAACGCATACGGCAATCTCTGTCTCTCTTGTAAATTAATTTTTTTGTACAGCTAACTTCAATTTTTCCAAGTTACCCGTGATTTATGTGGCGGCCGGGAGAGATTTTCTTCGTTACTTCTCTCGCGCGGCGAGACCCGCGTGAAACTCGAAAGAATTTTCTCGTGTGGATAGCGGAAACAAATTGCGCGTTTAAGGATTAGAACGGCTTTCCCAGGATTGTACACTCGCGTTGCCTCGCAGGTCTCTGATAACTAATTTCATGTCATTAGCATACGCTGGATGGTTGACTTTAGCGCGATTAACATGCGCTTCCCATGCGTGACACTTGATTTTCGTCATGTTTATATATTCTTAGCGATTATGATGGACGACCGCCTGCGTGGCGGTGAACGCCGTCCGCATGCCGGATGGAAAACCGCCGCAATTACCAGTCATCATCATCTCTCAGATACCAGCCGGAAGCGGCTTTATCCGATTTTACACGAGCCCGTGGAAAACGTATGTGGCGTTTCGCAAAAGCCCGCCGGTCGAGATCGCGATTGCAATTGAATGCCGCTGGCGTGCGGCCAAGTGAGAGTGATATCTCGGTGAAATCATCGATGACGAGATGACGACGGGAAGCCGTGGTTGACGCCGCCCGCGCGAACGCGGCTTTCGACTCTGCCTCGCGTTCGGGCGAATCCGGATGCGAGAGCAGGGAACGTCGGAATGCTTCGTGTACGCCACAAATTAAGCGATTATAAAATATAACGCAAGCACGATTCTCTTATTTAACGTAATAATGCAGATTAATTATACCGATAACGAGTAATTTAATGGAATTCCTTTCCGATGACGCGTCATCGGAAATTATTTCGATGATAAATTAATAAATTAAGGACCGCGGGTTAGATGCGGGAGAGCAGATGCGTTGAATGGCCCGCTGTAATAATTTCAAGAATTAATTTAGATAGAGAGAACGCAGATGAAATTACAAGCCCATCGACCCGTTAATTAGTATTTGACGTTAGATCCTCGGAATCTCTCTCCGCGCGTTAACTGTAACCATAAACCGCCGTTAATCAATTATACGTATGTGTTTCAGGTGATTACTAACGGTCTCAAGTGCGACTCGGACGACGTCGACGGTTTGACAAACGGTGAGTCACTCGAATACTGTAACGCTCTCTCTTCTTCTTCTTCTTTTTTTCTCTTCCTCATTCATTCCGTCGCAAAGAGCCGCAATCAACGATGACGACCGCATGAGATTAGGTTCATTCGATCGCGCGACCCTTGGTTTCATTGACGAAATCTCACCGCGTAAAAGGAGTCGCCCGTGAAACATTTCAGGACTGTACGAAAGTTTCTCGATCTTTCTCCTCAATCTTTAATCTATGTTTAAAGAAAGCACTGTTTAATTTACTTCGGTCGTTACGGTCGATTTCTTGGAAATATCTTCACTTGTTGAAGATTTTCGCATTGAACAATTGTTGCGATTGTCAGGAAATAAGCTTGAATAAAGTACGAGTTATTTTCAGCTTATTCGTTAATATATAATTAATTAATTAATAAAATTCGTATGGCTCAAATGTGATAAACACAAATTTGAAGGGATAAAAGACTAAGAGCCGCGACAGGGTGTTAGTGTCGAAATATTTCGTTCTAAATTTATTGCGAAAAAATATCACCTCAGCCAGGGTTAATTAATTTTTCTCAAATGCAAACCGTTAAGCGCTGAAGTTTCGTCTGTAAACTTCTGTGCGATTGAGTTCATTTCATTACACTTAGTCGACGATGACTTTCACAATTTAACATGCGTGGTTCACCGACACTGCCATTTTTACGTCGTCGGTGTTAAGTACTTTGTGAAACTAGTGTCTCTTTCTATTTCTCTTTTTCTCTCTGGAAGTCTCGACGGCGAGGCGTACGGACCGCATACACCGAAGTAACGTATCATTTTATTTAGGAGAGAAACATCATTACGGCCGTGCATCACTCATTATCGTTCTAATTGGATCCTAATGTTTGAGACGTTTCGCACTCGGTGAAAATTTACGGTTCCGGTTTTTACAATTCCGGCTATAATTTACACCGCGGTTTTCCCCTCGTAAATCGAGCGCGCCATGTATCGGCGTTTTCATTGCCGCTTATACGACACGCGTGTGTCTAATTGCGCCACGTTCATTACGTTATTCTCAGTAAAAATCACAGCCGTTCCCACCGATAATTGCGCCGCTCGGAATACGCGCTCCATAAATCGTGGACTTATCTCTTATTTTAGAACATTTCCGAATACACATCCTTGTAAATAAACGAGGAATCATTTTTAAGGAAAGTATTAATTTCTCGGCGATTCTCGATACAATTTTTTTTCCGTTCGTCTGATGTCAAGCTAAATTTCTAGTTTTTAGAATTTCAATTTAGAAAACAATTTTATTATTTTACTGCGTAAGCGCGATTTGTTCGATAACGTTAAGAGAATCTGTAATTGGAGATTTAGGCCGCTGTTCATAGTCAAATCTTATATTTAAGACCGTCTTAAACTTATCTTAAGATGCCGTATGAGAGATTTCATTGGCTCCGGATTATCTAAAAATGATCTTAGGACGATCTTAAATATAAGGTCTGACTATGAATACCGCCCTAAAAGAATATCGCCGAAACTCATTAACCCAAATCTTAAAAAAAAATTATGTCTTTTTGTGCGTTTCATTGTCGCGTGAAAAACACCAAGTATTTTTATCTTCGCTTTGTATTTCATAATTCATAGACATGGAGACTTTCTACAATTGAAGAGTGGTATTTTCAAAAAATTATTAAAGTTTCTAAAAAGTTGTTTGCTGCTCCGGAGACCGCGAAGTTAAATACGTGAAAGACAGATGCGTGCTAATCCGTCTACAAATTATCCCGTCGTGCTCCTAAATCGAGATTATTTAGGGCACATGGCCGGGGGTAGCTCGCGGCTTTGTATATAGCGCACGACGTTTCCCGGGCAAGTAACATGGAACAGAGACGGAGGGGTTCCCTCTTGTCGATGGTTCTCGGGACGTCGCGGAGGAGAGAGAGAGAGAGAGAGAGCGCGCGCGTTTCCTCGCGTGACGTAACACGTCGTCCTCGTCCTCGGCGAGATTGCGACGGCCCTGACTTTGCCCTTCGGTCACTATCATTCCGGGCGAGTGCGAGCGAACGAGCGCGCGCCGCACGTGTGTGTCTGCAACGACGATGATCCCGGCCGCATTTTCTCACGCTACTTCAGCTGCTCCTTGCCGGTGCAATGATCTCCCTTCCGCACATCTGCCTGAAAATTATGTCCCGAGCTGGCTTACGCGCCTCACCCCCTTCGTCCCGCCTCACCTTCCTCCGCACGACTCGTTAATTCTGCCGCGTCATCCTCGAACAGGACATTCCCCGACTCCTCTCGGCCTCCCGAGATTAATCCCTTTGGACACACACTTCGGAAGTTTGAACGACCCCGCACCGTATAATTTTCTTACCGCGCGCGCATCGTTCGCGCAATATCCGGCAAACTTCGGTCAATTTTCGCATATAAATCGCGTAAACAAATTTTTTTTCCCCCCCGACTACGGGGCTGGAATAAATAACAAAGTGTCGCTTCCCTTATTACTCAATTTCAAATTTGAGACTCGGCCGCGCTGTGCAACTTCAATGAGGGACGAAGGAAACGCGCCGTTCATGGTAAATTATACGGAAGCTGTTGCAATGTCTCGCGAATGTTGTTCAAGGATAGTGATTATAGAGAAACTCCTCTATTATTTATTTTATAACAGGCCACGCTTTTGTTAGATATCTTTTCCACCCTCGTCCTTCTCTCGGCGGCGACTTTTTGCGTTCGATCACTGTGCCAACTCCGAAGCGTGTCCACGTCGATTTAATTAGCGGCGCTCTTATTGTTGCGGGGCCTGTTTTTCTCGCGGATCTCCGTTTAACGTGGAAACCAATTGCGTTGTGGCGCTGATAAAGTTAGGTAAGCCCGGCGGTGAAAGTAGGAAGGCGGAAGTGAACAGGAGGATACAACGGGATTCGTATCGCGTCGCGGATTATTAGATCATTATGTCATCTTTGATTTAGTCCGCGGTCGCGGCGCGTAACGCAAGACGATCAGAGGCATAAGCGCCCCGCATTGTTGATGGATTCTAATAATCTTTCGCCGGCGGGATTCAAGGATAACCGTAATTACCGCCGCGATGCGCGATACGCCGATAGTTTCGTAATTAGATTTTAATTGTTAATGAATAATTAGCGATTATACCGTAACCGCGATTACGGCCTTAATTATTACGACTTCGGCCGCCGCGCGGTTTCCCTCGAGTTTAGAAGCCTCCTCGGAGCCCGCGATCAAAAGGAGTTCGTTTAATGAGAGAATAAGCCGGGGGGTTTTTTTTATAATGGGCTTACAAGATCTCGTTTAATCGCGCCGTATCGTCGTCCGTCATCGCGCATATTCAATCCTCGCCACTGCATTATTTATTCTCGCCGGGTTATTCGCGATCCAAGCTTCGCTAAATGCCCCGCGATCAAATAACAGAACGCTATCGTTTGAACGCACGTCGATAGGATTTATCGCGAGCGCTTTAATGTTTAATTGCCGAATCGTTGAACGAACGATTAAGGCCTCGGTTTCACCAACGTCGCTTAGGCTCGGTTTAATTCGTTCCATGTCTCTTTCCGACTGTTACTTTAGAACGAGACAAACGTGAATCGAACTACGATTAAAGTTGAGCGACGTGAAACCGGGTCTAAGCATCGTAACGTTGAAAGATTACAGCGACTGCGGGGAGGAGTGTTTTATTATTTTTTGTTCAGAACAAATCGTTACCGCGCTCGTGGAGCCTGTTAATAAGATTAGGATTAGACAGGGACGCGCGGATGAGGCTTTACGGCCTCGTATAAATTCCCCGATGGTTTCGCGTTTATAGTTCCCGAGATCGCCGTCGTCGGGATCGAAAGTGAGAGTTACGGTTTTTGCTTATCGAGAGATCGAGGAAAGTGTCGCTGCCGCGAGGATATTTCGCGGCTGCAGTAAACTTTCGATTTGGATCTCGCGAACGCCCGTCATTATCCCGCGCAGGCCCCGTGCACGTTTCCCCGACGTCGCGCGCTTCGGGGTAAGCGGCCACGTCACCCCCCCCCCCCCCGGGGGGGTACCGCGAGGCTGTAAACCACGCTTCGCTCCGCACGCGATTAACGGCGTCGCGCCTCGCCGGACGTCCCGGGCGCGAAATTCACTCTTTCCGCTCGTAAAATCCAACAATCCGGATCCGGTCGGGATCCTCTCGCGACGACAAGGGCCGCCCACGTCGAGAAGGGGGCGGGGGGGGGGGCATTACCGATAGCCTGCTCTACGGCCGCTCGATCGTGCAACGGAATGAAACCGGCGAGTCGGGAAATCTCGGGGATTCCCGGAATGTCCTCGTCTTGAGGAGAAACTTTATTAGTTATCGCGAAGCGGGGCAATTTCCTGAACAAAGTTCTGCTTTGACCGGATATCTTTCTCGTATTCTGAATTACAGCGCATTCGCCGGAGCGTAAATAATTGGAACGTCCGACAATTACGTCGCGTTTGATGTCTAAGGGCCAGTTTCGCAAACGCCGGCTAACCGTTAACCAGAGTACAGTCGACTCCCTGTATTCTTCTATCTTATTATTTACGAAGAGACGGAGACCCAATTAACCTTCGGTTAGTAGTTGACCGACGTTTGTGAAACTGGCCTTAAGGCCCGGTTTGACCAAACGTCGCTTAACTTCAATCTTAGTTTAAGGGGTCATTCCACTTCAACGGCCCAAAAACTACGCTTATCTTTAACAATTTTTTTCACCGTAAATACACCATACAGTGAAATAAATCTTTTTGGGATTTATTAGAGCACTCTGAAATAACAGAAAAAAATTGTTGTCGTAATTTAAACAATTTTTTAATTAAGCTTTTTCTACACCGTTCGAATGGCGTGTCAAAAAAGATGCAAGTCCGCTGCGTTGATGACTTTAATCATTCAGGCTTGCCTGAAACGAAAAATCAAAAAGATTCTTAATCTACATATATGAGTATCGCTATGTCCCGAACCTCAATTAAGAATTTTTATTTAAAAATAAAATGGTGCCAGTTTGTTATTTTTAAATAAAAATTCTTAAAAAGTTCAAAAGATTGTTAAAGATAAGCATAGTTTTTGGGCCGTTAAAGTGGAATGACCCCTTAATTCATGCTCGTCTCTTTCTAAAGTAACAGCTTGAAACGGACAAAGAACGAATTAAGCTAAGTTAAACAACGTTGGTGAAATCGGGCCTTAGCCTGACATTACATTTGTCGCGCGACAAATTTCTTAAGTTGATTGGCTGCCGAATAGAAAATTTCTAGACACTCGAGAATTTTACTATCTTCCAATCGACGCACTTCAAGAATCTGTCGTACGACTGGCCTTACGAGCCTCGTGAATTTTTCCTTCGAAAATTGCATTGCCCCCGTTTTCTGGGATTATTGTATTTTCATGTTTCTGCATCCTCGAGGTCTTCTGAAACCGAGACCCTTGAGATTTGGTACCGAGCCTTTCGTTCCGCAGATCTTTCGATTGTGTCGCGTCTATCTTTATCTGAGAGATAAAATATACAGATTTACGCCGTCAGACGTTTACGTTCTAGAAAGCAAAACGACTCCCTTGAATTCCGAGAAACTTCATGGTAGAGATATCGATTATTTATTATCGCCTGATAGAGCCGCGTAGATTAATCGGTCCTGGATAAATCCTAGTAATTTATCTAAGATCTTATTAATTTGCGATTACGGCACGTATTGTGCAACGTAGTTTAGTCGAACGCAATCGCGCGTAATAGAAGAATTATATCAACGTGTGGCTGTTCGCGCGGCCGATTGGAATACAATCGTTTCTGTCGATGTGCAATAAGGTGGTAAACATGACACACGCGCGCTCTTGTATAATCCTGTTATCCTGTTACCCGCGTGCACTTTCTTCGGCTTTGCATTATCAGTTTCTCTTCAGTTCTGCGTATGAATGGCGACAAAAGAGCGTTTCACAAGATACAATGTACGCCGTCTTTCACGACTTTTTTTCTCAGGGCATTCGATCGTATCTTTCAGTTCCCGAGACTCTGCTAACATTGATAAAAAATCCAGACTTGTCAGATTAATTGTAATTTATTTTAACGAACGATAAATTAATTACTTTACACCAATGAATATATATATTATAATAATAACTGGTATTTAATAGCGCGATGTAGATAATATCGTTCTTTAAATTCTTTAAATCACGCGAGCACACAAATAGTTAACATTGTGCCTGAGTTTTCCCACTTGCTGGCGTTTAGGAAAAATTTATCGGCCTAAATGACGGTCGGTAGTTCTGTGCGTCAACTGTGACTTTCCACTTACGATTGTAATTTTTATCTTCAAAAGCATGTGTGTCCTTTCCGGGTCAAGTACTTCCGATTCTATGCTAAGCTAACTTATGTAGCAGTCCGTTGTAAATTGAATTGGGATCAGTGATACTTCCCATGCGAGGCTGACGGTGCGCGACGCGTAAGTAGACTATCGCGTAACGGGCTTCCGATTGTCATGCACAACGTCATCCTTCTGTGCATCATGCGTCGATGAACTTAAATCAAACGCTATTCAATGAAAACGCGCGAATCAAAGCAAATAAAAAAAAAGACGTATTACCTGATGCGTAAACGCAACACCTGCGGAATGATCAATCGACCTCTTATCGGTCAAATTACAATGCGTGCTTTTCTGGTGGAAATTTGTATCGCGCTGAAAAACGTTTTAATGTCGGTCCTACAAAAAACAATGGGCAAAGAAACTTGTCGCATTTTTCATTAAAAGTTACTTAGCTACGCTGAGAAAAAAATGCCCGATTAAATATAATCGGATAACCCAATTACATAATAACAAACGGATATATCCAATTAAATTGTGTAACCGATGAAAAATATGTTCTTCAATCAAATATCATCGGATAAATTTCGTCGGGTGTATCCATAATTTAATCGGAAAAATTTATCAACACTATTTAGTAGGTTTATCCGATGAAAATTTTTCTCAGTGTATAATGTAAACGCGAGGATGCGAGAGACTGCAAGCTACCGTATGAAGGAATTGGTAATCCCCGAGAAAGTTCTTCTAGCGTGTGATTTGAATATCTTCTAGCACTCGGGAAAGATAGAAAAAATGAGATATACTTTCCGTCATTCATCGTCAATGATTACGTGCGCTCGTATCTAATTGTTAGGCTCGAGTACTCGCTTATCTCGGCGCTGCACACTTATCTACGCTAATGATGCGTTGCATACTGTATGTACGCGCTGCTGGCTTATCTCGCGCTTTCAAAAATTCGGATCAATGCACCGTCGCGGCGAGTCAACGACTCTGCGAATAAATAAACAGAGAGTAGACGCGTCTGAGTGTGAATAACCGACTAAGAAAATGTCGCCCCCGACAGTGCGCAATTTTTTCAATAAACGGAAATAGGCATTTTCTCCCCTGCGTACACGTGGTATTTTTAGCGCGAATTTTTTTTTCCCACGCGACACGCCTCGTCACGCTCGCGAGAAGAATTGAGCCGGCGATAAAAATTAATTAATCAAATTTTATCTGGATATCTTTACCGGGCGGGTATTGAGATCGCTTAATTAAATATCGTGACCTCTTCCTAATGGCACCTGTCACCGGATTTCCATAAAATCGCGTATGCAGCCCGTGCGATGCACGCGAACGAAACGTTCGCTTACTTTCGCGACCCCGTTTCGCAACTCGATCGAACATTTCATCGGGCTTGACGGCACGAAATAAATTTGCTTTTCCGCGGCACGGTATGTAACGCGAGAAGCATCCAATACTTCGCACCCGCGATTTTCACGAGAAATTTGCAAGTAAATCGCGATCCTCTAATTAATAATAATAATGAAGTTACGTTTGCACGTTTCCGTGAATTTTTGCCGATAAAAAATTAGTATTGACACATTTATACGGATATTATAATTTTATCATGGAGGTGATATTTTTTTCGCAATAAATTTAGAATAAAATAGGCTGTGCCTTAGACACTAACACCCTGTCACGGCTTTCAGTCCTTTATTCCTTCAAATTGATAATTTTATTTTTAATTAATACGTTACGCCATGATATTTTTATCTATGTAAGCGAAAATTCGAAAATCAATTTGAATGCGTTGAATAGCGTTATTTTAGCTTCTCAACTTGACTGACGATTTCATAACGTTATCTGGACGAACGCGCGGAAATGACATGTTGTATTAATCTATTGGTAGAACCGTGGTATCTTGAACAAACGTTGATAAGTAACTAACGACAAATGTGTCCAGCATATTGTCGATATTTTGACCAGTGCCGGGACGAGGATCGAATTTCCTAAGCGCGAGAACCGAAGGAAATCGCGACGCGAGGCGAATCCGACAGCCAACGGATTCTCGCGGCGCGATTCTTACCAGCGAAGCTGTGATTTCGACACGATACGATTTTTATCTGAAAACGCATTGCGTCCTCTCCCGCGCAAAGGGAACGGAAGTAGGACGAACACGCAAGACGAACAACACGCAGTCCTTGTAATCATTTCTTCGACCCTTTTCTTCTAATTTTATTCGCGTTCTTTTCTGTAACTTACTTGTGACGATCGAAGTTCGCCAATATCGGAAATTCTCCGATCGTTGACCGGTGTATTTTGCACAGCTGCTTCGATGACATTATATTTTTTTACTCCTCCCTTGAATCGTTAATTCTGAAAATTTACTTTATCTCCTACTTAAAAGGACCCACTTTAATGGTAAATTGGCAAAAGTAGAAATTTCCGACACTATCGGTTTTAAAGTAGGAGTAAATTTTGCACTTGCAGTTCGACCTATAACTATAAACTATACTCGCATGTGTCGGTGAAACAGATGACTTTAGGATCCTTTTAACGTCCTTCGTGTAACGAAGGAGAGTTAAAACACTCCGGCTCGGTTCAATCGCAGCGGAAACGTACTGTTTGTTTCACCTTGAGTCGCGACCATTCTATTCGCGCGGCTCCCTTATCCCATTAACGCGGCTATATCCGCGAAGCCCTACAAAAATATATAGAACTTCTCTCTTTGATACGCCTCACATGCTGAGGAAGTATCTCAGTTGCGACACCACGACGATGTGCGAGCAGGGTGAGAGCAGCTCGGTGAGAGCGAGAATAGCGTTGTTAGAGGGTGAATACTTGTTAAACGCAGCCAGCAATTTGCCAATTTTCGGAGTGGTCGTGTGCGTCGGTCGTGCCGTGATTTCATCGAAAAAAATCGCATTACTTCATCCGATCTTCATTTATGGATACGTCAACGCAGAAATCTTTGCGTCTCGTCTCTTTGTCTGTTCGATCCAATTAAAAAACAAAGTTCCTTAATCAAAATTTTGTAACGCGACATTGTTGAGATAACGTTGCAATTTTGTAGTGCGGCTGAGAAGCAGAGCGAACAGAGTTTACTCGACTTTATCCACTACTTTCGTTATAAACAGGACGTTTGGCGACGAAGATTCATTTGATCTCAATAACTTGAGAAAGTTGAACGTTATTTTTCAATCATTTTTATCTTCGATTTCAACACTGAGAAAAATGTCCGATTAAATACATATAATCGGATAATCCAATTACATGATAACAAACGGATATATCCGATTAAATTGTATATCCGATGAAAAATTTGATCGGTTTTTCAATCAAATTTCATCGGTAATTGCATTTCATCGGATATATCCATAATTTAATCGGAAAACGTAATCGGAAAAATGAACCATCGGACATACTATTTAATTGGTTTATCCGATGAAAATTTTTCTCAGTGAAGATTTAGCCTTCTCGAAAGAGCAAAACATTTCCCGCGCAAGGATCGAAGATTTATCTGACAAGTGTGCTCGCAATTGTGGCGCAAATATACGATGTGTCGCTTGAATCTGGGCTCAAGGGGATCGTTTATCGAATTTGCAATTTCTTTGTTCTCAGGGAGAAAAATGGCACCGGTTCTGGGCGTACCGCCTCCGCCACCACCGGCTCCTCACATGGGACCGGACGGCCTGATCTTGCCGAGGAAACCGTATAACCCTTGCCTTATCTCCAATAATCATAAGGACCTTCACAGGGAGTTACTTTTCAATCAGAAAATGTAAGTAACGAATCGCCTCAAAATTCACGCCGGTTAAAACGCGAAATTACTTCGGGAGATCATCTTTACGGCGCGAGTCTTCGTGGAAATAAAGCTTCCTTAAGTTGGATAAACACTTCTGTACTCGCGAACGAAATAGCGACATAGAAAACGACATAGAAATCTTGCTGTTCCTTTATTGCCAGAATTATTCGCGGGATGCTTAAAATTTCCTCTCTTAAGATTTTCGATGTAAAATTTTCTCTTAATAAGTTCATTACATCTCAAGTTTCTCCGAATGTTTTTACAATTTAATTCCCCAACGCGGTGAATTCTTCACGGCGAGAAATACTTTATTCAGGCAGACAGTTTCTTTTATCCGGTCTGTGATGAGGTCTGAATTTCGAATGAGAGATCCTCCCTAAAGTAAATACCTCGCCGCCTCTCTGCCCCGCGCGCGCGCGCGTTCCAAATTAATTAATGCGTTTAATTAATGCCGCGAGAGAGATGATATTCGCGATGAAAATGGAAAGCCGATTAGCCACGTGTAAAACTTCCTGATGAAAGCTGGGCACCGCTGTACAACGAATTTATTTTTATCGCGCGCGAATCCGAGCGTGATCGAGTATCAGATCGGCGCGGACTGTACGCGTCCGAGTTTTCGCCTCGTAAAATATTATTTCTCGCGCGATTACGTATACTTACTTTCGATCGCGGTCAATCGAGATAGAATCAAATACGTTTTCACGTTAATTCCCTGTTTACGTCTAATCAGTACGCGACCGCGCTCGACACACCTGCGAGTTCTTCACGCTTCGATGGAGTTAAACGGTTCACGCTTACCGACTTCTACCTTGGCACGTAATTCACGCCAATTCGCACGCGTGGTTTTTTTCACTTGCGCTCGAGACAACGTAATCTTACGGCGCTGTTCCTTTTTTTTTTTTTTTTGTGAAATCAACGTATCCTTATTTCCACGCAAAAATCTTCGTGCATTTCATTTGCGTAAGAATCTGTATCCAACTTTTATCTTCGTATTCGATTTCATTTTCGATATTGGCATTTCCCTGGTACGCTTCAACTTTTATACCCGCTAGAGATTACCGTTATATAATTACAGCGGCGAAAGCTGCGCTTTTTTTCTTAATCAGAAAGCATTGCGTCGGATTCATTAAACGCACGCTTCGCTGTATCTTTCTGCAGTGGCAAGAACGTCTTGAACCAGAAGAGCGAGCTGCAACGTGCCCTCGAGAAACAGAGGGAAGCTGCGTCAAGGAGAGAGGCTGACAGGACCCGCGAGGAAAGTTACAAGGACGATCCCAGGACCGCGTTGCAAAGGGCGATCGAGCAGAGAGCAAGACACATTCAGCTGACGGTAATCCGAGATTAACGCGCGCAGTTAGCTCACCTTTTTGGTGAAAAATTATATCTTTATCCTTTCAGATCCTAAAACCTGAATCCTTATATTTTTAAATCCTCGAAAGAGACTATTCAGTCCTCGATTCTCCGCATTCGGGGGGGAAAATCCATCCCAGCGAAACTCTATTCCTCGAGGATCATCGATCGACTTGGCTCTCTCCTAGAATCCCCAGACTCCGAGATCTTGGAATCCCCAGACGTTCAGATATCTCCGATTACAAAAGTCTCGTTCTGTTTCGAGAAATTACAGAAAATGCGCGCGCGCAGAACAATGCAATTAAATTTGTTCCCGTATTCGCAACTGAAATGCGCAATTGATTATGAGATCGGACTGCGCGCTGATCTGATATTAAACGCGGATGAATTTGATTGCAGCAGGAACAATCGCGGGCGACGATGGTGCCGCCCAGCAACCTCCTGATAACAGCAAGGGCGAAGCTGAGGCCTCGCACCGAGTCCCAGTGAAGCCGATGAAGATCAAAGGTCGTGAAGCGATGCCGCGTCCGGGTGAAGAGAACGATGATCCGCTCGGGCGGCTCGTAATTTCACCCCTCGGCGCCTTATCGATTGCAATCAGTGTACATACGCATAACCCGATAAGATTCCCCTGGCACGAGGATTATTAGCGGCGTCATTCGGCGCGCCGAGAAGCGTGTGCTGTAACAGACGTTAAGTCTCTTAATACACGTTCGAGATAACGCGATTGAACGGAACGCGCGCGTATTCGATCGTTATCGCGCGCAGAGGAAGGGGATCGGCATCTGGAATCTCGACGAACGTCTCGTGGATATTCAACACCGCCACGTTGCCGCGCCAATCCGCCCGTAAGATCATTCCCCAAACAACACGAGGAACCAAACGACACGTCTCGAAGATTAGGAGCTATCTTTACGACGCGCCAGTTTAGAGAACATCGTAAATTGCGGTGTCGTTTGCGCGTTGCCCTGAATCAAGCGCCACGCAAGTGGTTCTCGTAAAACGCATTGCATATCGGGTCTCTCGATGTACAATACAATCAGCAACCAACCACGTGTCTTCGTTTAATGATAAATCAGCGTGTGCCGAGCTTAGCTTGACGACCAATTAGTAACGTCGACGACGCGATAACGTTCATTACATACGGTTATTATCGTAAACGCGGTAATTCGATTAGATTGTGCGTGCAAGCGTCGACTTGGATATAATAACCGACGTATTTTTTCTTACGAGGACGTTTCGTCGCGAGGGCATCGGCGGCGCGATAGTAACACAGTAGGACAGATCGACAATAGGTAGTAGCTGTAGACAATGAGATAACGCGAAAGAATTTATTCGTGGACGACATTTGTCGGTTACTTAAACGGGGAACTGTCTCTGCTCCGAGCCTTTGATTTTAAGCGATATGTCTCTTTAATATTGAAATGGAATTATTTGTTCAAAATTATGTCGTAAAACTCACCGACGACGAGTATTTCTCCGAGAATTGGGGCATTCAAATGCGCACTGATAGTAAAGTCTATTGTTCCGTTACAAGATAACGTCATTCTGCACTGCTTAGGATTAATCGCTCGAGCACGAGTCATGAATCGCGAATGCCCGGGCATCCGCGATAAAAGTATCGGCGCCTCTGAACGAGCTCTCCTCGTGCTGAAGGCGAAGATCCCTTTCCTTCTCTCCCTCGGACATCACGACGATGTTTCCCCACGATCTTCGACACGATTTCGGGCACGTAGAAAGAGTATTTTGTACGAAGCTTAGATCGCCGACGGTGGCATTACTTTGTTCTCCGCTACACATTCTCAAGCTGAATACATCACGGAATAAATAAACGTATTGGGACGATTTTGCGAAGATACCTGCAACTAATCGCACGATTGGCCGTTCCCGATTTGTCGCCGATGGCTTTGACCCCGCGAATCAGCTATGACGGATCATTTGGAACTCGACGCTATCTCCGGATCTTACGTGAATTGAACGACAAAATTGCATCGTTTGGACTGTATGGAAGTGATGCCACTGGAAGTGAAAGTAGTTTCCGCTAGGAGACGAGAGACGAATAAGTCAGGACTCCGCGGGACCATGTGTTCTTATAACTTCGTTACACGGCAGTAAGAGAAATCCGACATCTGCCTTGCGTAGTAACAATTATTATTAATCGTATTTAAGTATCGAATCGACGTTAATATTAACTATAGATTTCGTGGCTCATTATGTTATGATGAATTCTGCGGAGGTGCGCAACATTCTGGGTCGAAAATCATGTAAGCCGTTAAGTTTGTTACAACTTTAATTTACCAACTGATCCATGAAAATCTTATAATATATAACTCGCGCTTAAGTGCGCAAGGAGATATCACCCAACCAATAGAGGAGCCACAGATGGAGAGGATACTTTCGTTTCTTTTTTTCTTTTCTTTTGTACAGTTGTCACATGTATGTGTAGGCTAAACTCTACGTTTTAACATAAACTTAATCACGATATTCAGGACCTTAAGAGATCATCGCAATGATAAAATCTCGGATTCCAAATATATTTTATTCAACACTAAACATCAACCCCCCCCATCATTTCCACTCCAACGTGTAAGAAACCATTAATAAAACAAAAAAACGTTACAGGAAATATAACAGCGAATATAGACCCTCTTCTCGAAATGTGTACGCCTGTGGGGATGAAAAGAGAAAAGGAGACGTGTCCTTAAACGACACACGAAACACCTGATGTATAATATGTTACCGGTACGTATGTCATCGGTTAAAAATCACATTGTCGCTGCAACACCTCTTTACGATTGAGAAAAAGAATGAGGTCACGGATAGTACATCACACTCAGAAATGCCACGTTGCTAACGTATTACAATATAATGATCACCTTGGTCGCATCGCGGGATACGACGCTTCGACACAGCGATGTTACATCGAGATTAAAATACATCTTGACATCCGATAATAATTCACATAAAACAACGGCCGATTTAATAATCGTCACCGCGGGAAATTACTTCTTTACATGTAGGACGCAGGACGAGGGTGTGCTCGAACTGAGCGGTGTAACAGCCTTTGACGTCGACCAACGGCGGATACGCTTCCACGGCGCCTTTCTCGCAGAGATCCTTCAGCGCCATTTGGTACTTTGTGCAACCGACGCGGTCCAACCAGCGTTTACAAAAAGCCAGAGTACCTGAAACGCAAATATCCGTAAAGTGGCGAATGTTCGAGCGCTGAGATTAAGCTGTTCATTTCTTTTTTCTTTTAAGCCCAATCAAGTAGCCTGTGGGCTTCTCACCAAAATGCTTGTTGATAGTATTGAGAAGGGACTTGCTGCTTTGCAGTCTCAATGGCACGAAACCGGCGTCGAAGCTCTTCATGTAATGCGAACATTCCATGTCATCGTGAACCACGCCTCTACCGGTAGACCCGAAGGTTTCGATCGCGTAGAACTCGTTTTCCTCCATCCGGATGGCCTCGCCGCCTCTGACTATCGGTACAGTTTTCCCGGCGTGTATGCGATAGGGCGAGATCGAGTGACCATTCAGATTCCTAATTGATTTCACCTACAAAAGATTCGATTTACTAATTAAATTTCCATCACTATCTTCGCTAGTCTTAATGCTGACTTGTGTCTTTAAATATTTTTGCAATTATGTCTCGAATCGAAGTTTAGAAGCTTGCGATTGAACTAGGAATATACATTTTCGAAGCTCGAGTCGTTAAAATCAACTAAGGTACGTGCTATCTAAACTGGATTATTATCAATTCCAATTATGGACGCTGCATTATACCGCATTCCATATTTCGTACCGGATACGTTTTGCCGTCCAGTTCCACCTCGTACGATTCCATAACTTCCTGAATAGCTGCACCGACGTCGCACAACTGCACGTCGATACCGGCGGCCTTGATACCGGTATTGGTGGCGTCGCGGACAGCCTCGATCAGCTTGTCGTACTTGGGATTGAACGTCAACGTGAACGCGCAATCGATGATACGTCCGTTGATGTGAGTACCGAAGTCGATCTTGGTGACGTCGTCGTACTCGAGAACCGTCGGATCGCCGGCGTTCGGGGTGTAGTGGGCCGCGCAATGGTTGCGGGAGCAGCCGGTCGGGAACGCCAGTCCGGCCAGCAGGCCGTCCTCCCCGATCAATTTCCGAGCGGTCTCCTCCAGCTCGTTGCAGATCTCTATCATGGTCATTCCCGGTTTGATCTGCGGAATTCATTCGTGAAAGAAATCAAAGTCCCGCATTACGAGATAGCAGGTTTTTAACATCGAAATTCAATCACAAACTCTTTCGCAACGATTGTACGATCTAACAATGCCTATCTCACTAAACGACAGATTTTACTCGACAAATTCATGGCGGCACCAACGGACGATGTTCTGTTAATTAGCAGAAACGCGCTATCTCATCTTAGAAACCTATCTCGTAACACGAGACTCGTCTACACATCGCGGAGCCTCTCGATTTATATTGTTCACACAAAAATGCATCCTGATGCTTGGTCTGGATATTCTACCATCTTATCTAAGATACGTGCGAGGTCTTACGCAACCCGCACTCGGCAACTGAGAACGCGCGTTATCGCAACAGCACGCACAGACTTGCGTACCCATTTCATGATATGCTTTCTGGTCTGTCGATGCGCCTCGGCCGCCTGTCTGGCCTCATTGTAAATGTCATTGTGCATTCTGTCGAGGGCGCGCGCCTCCTCGCTGCTGAAGCGCATCTTCGCCATCCTGTCGTCTATCCCGGCGGACCCGTGAATCATCACCTGCCCCACCGGGAAATTGCCGTCCGGGAACAATTCCGACACGGGAATGCTCGGCGGGTCCGTTTGCTGTTTAACACCGCCCTTATCCTTGGGTTTGCGCTTCTTCTTCTTCTTCTTCTTGGCCTCCTCGCTCTCGCCACTGTTCTCGGTCACCTCTGCGGCGCCTACGAATTTCGACCGAAGAATGCGTCGTCGCAAAATTGTTAATACTGAATTTTAGCCCGTGATAGTAGATATAGAAATATAGAGGGACAGCAAACTGTTAGCGATACCTTCGGCCACTGCCTCGTCATCCTTGGCCTTATCTTCTTCTCCTTCTGGCACATCTGCACTAGCCTCTCCAGCACCTGTACAAAGATACCCATCTATCAATACTTCTGTACGGAATCAATAACGCAATTTCTTTCATCGTAAGCCAACATCTATATGTGAATTTTATGGAATTCTTAACTTCCAATCAAATGTACGTTTGGAACTAAAGAAAGAGGATACTAAATACGTGTTATGCGGCGTCCACAATAAGATCTTTAAGAAAACTGCTAATATCGCAGTCGATTATTCCCCTCGCATTCGATTGTGACAGGTGACTGTTTTAAATTTTACGTCATAAAGATCTCATTGTAGACGCCGCATCATAACCAATGTATAATGCATCTCTCTTCTTGCAAATCACAATGTTCCAAGGTCAGGCAACCTGTTTCGCGCTCATCACTTTCAACTCGCGTGTTCAGGCTCGTGTGAAGTTCGACGACACAAAGGAAGCGGATTTTGCGCCCAACAATTGTCAATACAAAATTACGTAATATTTCCGGATAACGTTGCACTCGGTGGAGCGACTTCCGTCAACCTTGAAACTACTCCAGATTATTAATTTCATTTCAAGTAACGGGCAACTCTCGTCAACTCGCGTCGTTCGATACGGGCGAGGTGTCGCGGGGAGCTCGCGTGCGCTCGGAAGCGGATCGTCCCGGCGACCTCGCGACCCACCCGGTTGTCGCCGCGACGCGAGCAGGGAAATTCGGTGGACATGCGGGACCGCGTGTGCCGCGAAACGCCGAGGCGTGACAACCGGGGGGCGGGGGGGGGGGGGCACGCTCCGGCCGTTTAAACGTGAACACTCGAACAGGACGCACCGGCCTTCTTCTTCTTTTTCTTCTTCTTCTTCTTCTTCGAGGCCTCGGCCGCCCCGGACTTGTCCTCCCCGTCGACGATCTCGTCCTTCTCCTCGTTGACGAGTTTCTCGGCGGACTTGCCGACTTCGTCCAACACGGCCGCCATTTTCGGGTACGATGGCCAAACAATGCTGCGGCGTACGGCACTCCGCCGCTCTGTCGCGCGACCGCGTGAAGAAAAAAGACCGCGCGGTAAGCAGAGCCGGGTTACCGACTGCCCGACGGGCAGCGAG